TGAAATTACAAAATTTAGTATACAGTATACTATACATGGAATAAAACGAATGTTACGGATTTTATCACGTTTAATTTTAACTTCTTTACGTGGGGTTTTTTTACGCATCTTTGGATGAAAGTTCCATAAAACCCGCTTAAAAGAACATATCGTTGATGTGAAACACCGACGCTCCGGGAAGTCTAAAGTATGTCAACATGTTTAGTATCGTCCGAACCATTATATCGGATCTGATATACAACAAATCCTTGCACTAGAACACCAATTCCTACCAATGATGATTCGCGAGCCTTTTGAAATAAAAAAAAGCATCTTAATTTTAAAATGGAGGATGGCTGAGTGCTATCATTTGCTAAGGACCCTATTTATACAAATAAATAAAAAAAAAAGTGTCTGTTTGTAATGTCAAAATAACAGATTTAACTAAATGTATATGAAAGTATATACGGTACTAATAACAAAAATACAATTTTTAAAGTTTTTGTCTGTCTGTCTGTCTGTCTGTCTGTTCCGGCTAATCTCCGTAACGGCTGGGCCGATTTTGACGGGATTTTTTTCACAGGCAGATAGCTGAGTTGCAAGGAGTAACTGAGGCTACTTTTATTTTAGAAAAAGAATTAGGGTTTCGCGCAAAAAATTAAAACCCACAAATAACACGCGGTCGAAGTCGCGGGGGACAGCTATTTCATATAAAATGTTCAAGTTTTCGGATAAAATAAAGCCTAGATAACTCCTGGCATTGTTGTCTATTCGTTCGTCAAATTTCATTACAACGGCTTCAGCCATTCCAAAGATAAGCTCGGACAGACAAACAGATAGACAGACAAATATTTTAAAAATGGTTATTCACGTCTTCATAGCATGCTAATTACCCGCTCTAATGTAAGACAGTTATTTCGATGTTACAGGTAGACCTGCCATTCCATACCACACTTCAATATTATTTATATGTAATAAATATTACAACTCATATTATGAGTATAATGTGTTCCTAACGTATTCTTTACACATAATATTGATTTTTCTAATCAGGAAGAATGCTGATCAAATCCATTTGATGTTCTACCGACTTCAAAAAGGAGGAGGTACTCAATTCGACTGTATGTTTTTTATGTGTATTACCTCATAACTTCTTTACTAGGCGAACCGATTTCGATGATTCTTTTTTTTTATTTGAAAGCTGGTGCTTCTCATGTGGTCCCATATAAATTTGATCAAGGACTGACCAATAGTTTTTGAGTTATCCTTAATAACTTATATTTAAGTCGGATGTAAAAAAATTTTTAATTTTAAATTATCCTATATCACCTCTTATGTATATAATGATTAGGGATTATAATGAGGTAGTAGATTCTGTTACGCTGCCACTATACGGCGAACTCACCATTTATATTACATGCGGATCTTATCAGACAACTACGCACTCATTATCTATGAGCGTTATATCTGGCAAGCCCACGGACTACTGAATTGGAATGTGCCGCAAACATGTATGGCATTGTTTTTTTTTAAATACGCGTTTACTTTAGTTTACGTCGTAGAGCCACGCTGGAGCTACAGCACGAATGGGTCGGCTAGACAGTAATAGTGTTATATAGGCTAGCTCAACCGGCTCCCGGCAAAGTTCCATGCTCCCATAGAATATCAGCGTGTTTCGGATGGTGAGTGACGGTGACAGGAGTTTTTAATGGCAATGAAGTATTCCGTCTTAGTATTTATGGGTGATAACTGATAATACATCTTTTTTTTTTGTTATTTAAAAAACGTTACCCCCACACTAGGATTTTCTCCTGTGTCGTGAAGGCAGTTTACAAACATAAATTGCACAAGGACAAACATCCAGACCCGGAACAATTATTTGTAGGCCATACAAATACTTGTTCCGTGCGGGATTCGAACCCGCGGCCCCCAGCGCAACAACTGATTGCTAAGCCACTGCGCCACGGACACAATTAAGAACCAAAATACGATCTGTATTTTGGTTCTTAATTGATAATAAATTATAGGTGGGCCTATTTACTTACAATCAGACGGACAGTGTAATCATTTGTGTAATGTTATTCTTATGACTACCTAACAGTAACAAACACGTAGATGGAACACGGCGATGTCGAACACCTCCCACCATGACCATGGGTACTGTGAAGTACTTGAAATGTCGAATATATAAAACAACTTAATATACGCGATAAAATCCGTATAATCTAGTTTTATTTAAATGTGTAGTGTTCCCCTAAACATAATATATAATACATATAATTATACGTGGTAGAGCCATACTACAGCTATATTAATAGTTTGTTGTAGCACGAATGGGTCGGCTCGACCGGGGAAGGACCACGCTCTCACAGAATACCAGCGTAGAATAGCAGCTTAATTGCTATGTTTCGTTTGGTGAGTGTAGAGAACCGGAGACCCCTTTTACTAGAAAAGAGGCATTTCATCTTAGTCCTCACGGCTGACAACGCATCTGCACTTTATTTGCAAACGATGATAGATGTAGATGTCTATGGCCCACAGTAACCACTTATCATCAGGTGGACTGTGAGCACGCTTGTCACCCTTATCCTATTAAAAAAATCAATAATAAGAAATCAATACCTAACAAACATGGTTAGCAATCGTAGATCATTAGTCCATAAGCCAGCAATTATATTGCAAATTATTTTTTATCAGGTTTTCGTTGCTTTTGGCTAAGTGATGTATATAATAATAGTAGTGTAGTTATATATTATGTATTACTAAAGTCAAAGTCGATATATAAGTCTTAGCCCTAGCCCAAGAATCGTCCCATTTCTGAATAGTTCTTTGGATGGTTTCGAGTTTTGTCAGTAATGCATGATGTGAGGTAGGTACGCATATTTTGAACTCTGGTTTCAGTCTACGATTACCTTTAATGGAAAATTAAACTTTAAATAAAAATCAAAAGAAAATAAAACGAATAAAATACAAGTAATTTCCATTTGCTTCTGCAGTAGTTTTCTTTTTATAGAATGAGGGTGTAGGTATACTCAAAACGTTTTAAAGTAAATGTTGACTTCAAAGAATTAAAAAGAATACTATAAATTCCACACAATAGCTTCTGAAGTCGGGGTTCTAATTCTCCTATATTTACAGTATATTTTAGCAACGACTCGTTCGTTTTTCTAGTAGTATGTTTTTAGGTTTTTATACGTGGTAGAGCCACGCCATAACATTATTTATTCTGTGGCCAAGCTGCAGCTTTTCTATGGTTTATGGAGGTAAAGGTAAGGAGGACCATCTCTGTTTATGTAAAAGTGTTCGTCGAGGAGCGTCCAATTAATACATATCTAATCCAAGCATCTGCATTTGATTCGCAAACGAGGATATATTTAGACGTCTATGGGCCACAGTAACTACTTACCATCAGGTGAACTGTGTACTCGTTTGTCACCCTTATCCTATAAAAGAAAAAAAGGGGGAGAGGGATTAGGCCTCCGATCATCTGCACTTAACAGGCGAAGGAAACTTCTACTTCACGCTGGTTATCTGTAAGGTCGTGGGTCTCCTCGTTACGAGCCGGTCCACCCATTCATTACAGCTCTTCATTTCATGTCTTATCAGGTCGTCACTCCATTGTCGCTTGTCACCCTTGTTCTATTAAAACAAAAATTAGGGTGTTGCTTCGGTAGCAAGGATGCAAATTTTAAAGATAGCACCAAAAATCATTAGTTTATTTACAAACATTTCCCATTATTGTTCAATTATTTTTTTAAGCTTTCCAACAGTAAAAACAATAAAATCACGAAAAAGCATTATCAAAAGCTTACAAAACTGAAATCACTCGTCCAGTTATCTTAGCACTTTCATAGGTTGTACTTACAACGTAAATAGTTGACGTTTTATAAACTGCAATATTCTCAACTACCCTAGCCACCAGAGATTTTAAATTTTTCAACTCAACACACTTCAATCTGTTTACAACTGCTAAATTCACATCATTCCCTCTTGTTACGCCAGCGCTATTTTGGTGGATTCTTGAACTATAATTTACTGCTTACAGCTGCACACTTTCAACTCTTCCCCCACATGAGATGGTCCTCCTTACCTTTACCCTCCATACTATGGTTGTACTACGAATGTTCGGCTCGACTGGAGTAGGAACACGATCTAGCAAAATACCATTGTGAAATAGCAGCTTAAACTTACTTAGTCTTTAGGTTTTATGGGTTACAACGCATCTGCACTTTGATTCTTAACTGCATTCAATTGCCATCGGGTGGACTGTATGCACGTTTGTCACAATTATTTTATAAAATACGTTTACCGTAGCTATATTTAATACAAACCTAAGATTTAAAGTTTTTATTTGTTCTTTTGCCAAGTTACAAAATCAGTATCAAACAACTTAGCAATTTTTCTGTTAAATTTAAGAAGAGAGTTCTACATTTCTTTAGCTATGATAAAATTAACTGCTATGAAAATTGGCACTCGTTCAGATTTAAACTCTTTTATCGGCGAAGACTGCTTTCCCGAACGTTGTTTGTAGAGAACTTGGCTCCCATTTCACATTTTATGTTCTTGGTGGCATTATTAAGCCGCGTCTCCACCAAAAACGTTGACAACGTTTATGTTTCCAACTGTTGACAAATCAACAAAAGTTGCCAACATTTGTTTCCGAAAATGTTTCAAAATGTTCCAAGAAGCGTCTCCACCGAGGGAACAAATGTTTGCAACAAGCGTATTCCTTTGATGTTGCCGCCGAAAATGGAAACACGATTCCCGACATTGTTTCGTTTTGTTGCTAAAACTAGGTGATTACAGAAACATTTGTTGGCAACACGTGTTGGCAACTGTTGTGTTGGCAACAAAACTTTGGTGGAGACGTGCCATTATGTTGCAATACCTAAATAAAATAAAAATCTGTCACTAGCTCAGCACCTGAAAGAACTATATTGTTTTTATTTTTTAAATTAAAATAAAACAATGTTATACTTTAGATATATTTAATAAACTAATGTACATAATCCTTGTCACACTTAATCTTCTTTTTTCTTTTTATTTATGTATTCTTTAATATAAAAGTCTGTAAATAACAACAGCATGAAAATGTTGTGCGGCAAGAATAAGAACGATACCCATTTAGGATATCCGCAAGATGGTTCAAAGAGAATATGTCCGAAGTGCACAATGAGGAGTAAAAACTGCAACTGAAAAAAAAAACGAAACAATTACATAATGAGAAAAGATCCCATTACATATTTTGAAATAACGTTATTTTTATTATCATTAATTTATTACACGACGGACGTATACAGGATTCGTCAACGACTATTGGTTTAATTGCTGCATTTTGCTGGACATGAAGTTCTTGTAAAGAGAAGATTTTTTATCGTAGACCGGCGATCGCAGTAACAGACCACAATTATTGAGATTTTATTTTTATAGGATAAGGGTGATAAATGAGCAGACAGTTCACATGATGGTAAGTGGACGCTGTGGCTAATAAACATCTGAATCTATCTTTCATAAACAATCAAAATACAGATAGCTGCGTTGTCACCTCTGAGGAATAAGATTGAATGATTCGTTTCCAGTAAAAGTCGAGCCGACTAATTCATGTTCCGACCATAATACGAGTATCTTGTCGGCGTTTCCCATTGTGATAGATTTTCTCGAAGATGATACAACATGGTGAGCGGTGATTTCATCTATACAGATAAATAAAATTGAAGTGTCTGTTTCTAATGTCAAAATATATACTGTACTTATAACAAGAACACAATTTTTGTCTGTCTGTCTGTCTGTCCGTTCCGGCTAATCTCCGAAACGGCTGGACCGATTTTGACGGGATTTTCACTGGCAGGTATCTAATGTCATGAGGAGGCTTTTACCCTACTTAGGCTACTTATATTTAAGAAAAAGAATTAGGGTTCCGTGCAGTAAAATTAAAACCCTAAACTACACGCGGGCGAAGTCGCGGGGAACAGCTAATTAGATAATAAAACAATAGCCTTTATAAAGCAGGTATACTCTTATTTCTAACAGGGTTCTAAAGCGTGAAGTCAATTTTTTCTTTCTTTTTTTTTCATCTTTTTTCATCACCGAGCATAATACATAATTTTTAATTGTAACCAGTGGAATGCGGGAAGTAAAGACTGTGTAAGAACCTCCGAAGAAGGCGGAGTTATAACAGAAAAAAGAATTTTAAATTTTTTGGTTTTTGGCCATTTCGACCCCCTAGGAGTGTAATGAGAACTTTTTGCCCCTATTCAACTGTGACCCCCATGACATCCTCTACATGATACGCTATTCAAACTGACTATGCCTAAAGTTCGAGCCACCCCCCCAACTCATTTCTAGTCTTTACTTCCAAACACTTTCACTGGTGCTTTGGGAATCGAACTTAGATAATCAAACCTCTCAATTATGAGAGGGTTTTTATGACAAGGAAGTGTCGGCCGAACTGGACCAATGTGTGTAGCGGACTTTACGTGTCTTCGAAATATATATTTTTTTATTCATCAGATGCATACAGGCTTCCGCACGTTGTTTTCCTTCACCGGCGAGCATGTTGCAGTTCATCACTTTAAATTGCAATTAACAATTTCGTTGGTGCTGGCGAGGATCAAACCCGGGTTATAGTGGCGTACTGTAAAATTTACGGCGAGCTAATAGGATGACCTACCGCGGCTCAGGTTTTTGTATCAGTAGCATTGAAACTAAAGTTATAATTTATTAAATTCACACAACCTGCTGTTCAAGGTTTTTCGACAAGTTTTTGTCGTTTTTATAAACAACTGTAGTATTATTTACATAATGAGTACGACTAAACTATACCTCAAAACCTGAAAACGAAATTGTACAACCAGTGCGTGTTGCCAGTGATGACTTATGGAACTGAGACGTGGTCCTTCACTGCTGGCCATATGAGGAAGCTCAAGGTCGCTCAGCGAGCTATGGAGAGGGCTATGCTCGGAGTTTCTCTGCGTGATAAACTTAGGAATGAGGATATCCGCAGTAGAACCAGAGTAACCGACATAGCCCAACGGATTAGTAAGCTGAAGTGGCAGTGGGCCGGCCATATAGCTCGAAGAACCGACAACCGATGGGGAAGAAAGGTTCTCGAGTGGCAGCCTCGTACCGGTAGGCGAAGTGTAGGGCGTCCCCCCACGAGATGGAGTGACGACCTGGTAAGACATGCAGGAAGTCGATGGATGCAGGTGGCTCAGGACCGTGCTTTGTGGCATTCTTTGGGGGAGGCCTATGTTCAGCAGTGGACTTGTGAAGGGCTGTAATGATGATGATGATGATGATGAGTACGACTACGACGGTATTGTTTGTCTTTGAGTGATTGTCTTGCTATACGAGTCGATTTCACTAGAAGAGGCTTTTATATTAATTGTTTTAAATGTTGCTCTGAATCAACTGATGTAAGTTGCTATTACGGTTTAGCAAACATTTAAAAAAAAATTTATTCCCGACTACCGACCTGCCCTGGCTTCGCCTGGGAACCCAAGTTTACTGGTTGAACCGATTTCGATATTTTTTATTTGAAAGCTGGAGCTTCACATGTGGTGCCATATAAATGTGATCAAGGTCTGGCCAGTAGTTTTTGTGTTATTGTTAATAAGTTTTTAATTTTTAATTATTACATTTGTACTGCTTCCCATCTTGGGTGAGATTTGGGTTCGTTTCTTTTAAATGTTGTCAACGTGTGCCACTCGCAAAATTTTAAAGCGTGCAAAGTTAACTTTACATCCTTCTGATATACCGTAATCGTCAGTTTAGGCAGGTGGATTAGTCATCATCTCATTTATAACCAATACTTAAATCTTACTTGAAGCCCACCTGCTGGTATATGGCTACTGCAGTCCATGCAAATGTGCAACCAACATCAAACAAAGAAGGATAGATGCGTTGTCCCCTCCGAGGGCTATGATGGCCTGACCGCCTGTTAATATACTGGATCTATAAACCCGTCAGACAATACAGTAGTGCACGAACTGCTGCTTTTTGGCGGGAATAAGTAAGAGGACCCAGACGGAGCTCTAGGCAGGTAAGAAGTCCTATCACTTTGCCATTAGTCTTTAAACATAACAAGTTAGTTACACGTTACAATCTATATCAGTCCCATTGATGGGCACTGGTCCCATGGTCTATAGCCCCCTCATTTCTGAGAGCAGTTAGTCACCACGCTACTGCAGTACGTGTTGGTGGACTTTACACATCTTTCAAATATTTTATTTCTTAACCGGCGAGGAGCCTTGGTGGCTCGCGTAGTAGTAGTACTACGAAATTACGATGACTTCTTAGCTCCGTACCGCGTCTAAATAAGATTCACGCGTAACAAATTCTACTTACAATCTGCAGTTGTGTGATATATTTCTTCCACCATCGCTTGACCCACTGCGGTCGCACGATGGCTATTAAATAATAGGTGTACATGACCGCGTGTACCACCGAATTGATGAAGCCCAGCATTACGCCGTGGCCACCTGAAAGTAAAATTCATAGTCATTTTCAGGCTGTTGTGCAGTGAAGGAGATGGAGGCCGTGTATGAAGGCGTAGGTACTCTGCTAGAAGAAAGAGGGTGTTATGCTACAGCGCAGAAGAGCATAGGGCCGCGGAGTGTTTGAGAGAATTCCCGTAGACTTGCTTTGATATGGGTCGAAGGTAGAGAGTACGTAACATTTTAGTCGGTAAGAGCGCGATTCAATCCGTTCTAGCCTCCGCGATTCAGCTGTGCTTATTGTATTTTCCAGCGAAGAAATGGTGCATGGTTTTATAGGTAAGGTTGACAAACGTGCACACAGTTCATCAGTAAGTAAGCGAATGTTGTTGGCTCATAGTCATGTACATCTACCCTTGATCAAAGATCAAAATGCAGACGCGTTGTCGCCACATAGGACGTTGAGGGAAATGCATTGTTATCTGTAAAAAGGGGTCTCCGGTTCCCGTCACTAACTACTATCACGTTCATCTTTAACGTCAATCTTTACCATTTTAACAGTTCACTGCCAATACCAATACCAATGTGAAGTAACAGCATAATGCTGCTGTATGTCGCATGGTTAGTGTAGAGAAACGGATAGCCTTTTACTGGTAACGGGGCATTCCATCTTAGTCCTCAGGGGTCACGACTTGATAAATCCACCCCATAAGCCACTAAAACCCCATTTTATGTAAAAATAGCAATAAATCGATTTAAAAAAATATTAATAAGTTCAACAATCATTTATCTTTCTGACAATGTGTCTTTTATATCATTTATATGTATAAAATGATTGCTAGATACGATTTCATGCGACAAAAGGTTTGAATCTTAATTTTTAGGCCCTAGCAGAACATACCTGCGCGCATCGCGCTTTAGGCATGCAATGCAGGTTGGTGTCGACAACGCTGCAATTATTAAATGTAAGTATGATCACTTGCCTGGTACGTATTTAGTTCCAACGAAGCCAAGCAAACACATTCCCAGGTGGTGGTATACGTGTAGGAATGACACATGAGAGAACTTCTTACGTAGCACGAAGAAGACCTGGAATATATTTTAGAAAACATTTTATATATCTTCTATACATATAATAAAACTGTAAATAGCAGATGTCTGTACATTTTATATTTTTGTAATAAAAGTGATTGAGGGGTACTAAAAATAAGTAATTAAATACATTTCTACCATTTTTAGAATTTTCTGTCTGTCTGTCTGTCTGTCTGTCTGTCTGTTTGTTTGTTAACGTATCACGTATAAAGTACTAATTTATATCATAAGAATTGTTAAGGAAATTATAAAGTGTATCTTCGGGTTACATTTAGTCTTTATTTCATTAAAATCAGTTCATTCCATCAAAAGTTATGATAAATATTCTGAAGTATGGGTAGGGAAGTATAGGTACGAATTTGCTCAACGGTGGCTTTGTTTGAGTCATCAAGTGCATTTTAAACTAATATCATATCATAAATCATAGTTAAATTATGTAAAAAAATGATATAATTATGTATATCTAAAACGCAATAAACAAAAGTATTAAAGAACGTATTAAATATATTATACAAAATATATTAACCTTATTAACTAAATCTGAAGCACAATAGTTAACCCATTTCTTCGATAGATGGTGGTGTTGTGAAAATGTAATGCTTGCAATGTGGTTTTTTCCTGTAGATGAGTTTTCATATTTACTGCTAATCTTTATTATATTACTCGCTGCCCTACTGCGTGTTGACAAACTCAATTTATTCTTTACCGCCGAGTACTTTATGTGGTAAATCAAATTTTAAAAGAGCTATTAACAATTGCGTTGGTTTTGGCGAGAGTCAAACTTTATTTTTTGCTTACTGTGCAGGCACTGATTTATAAGTTCTCTTGCGTTTTATATAATGTATCAATCGCGTCAATTAATCTCTTTTATTTTTAGAATTGATGTTAGCAGCGCCATCTCTCTTTAAATATATACATATAATAAAAATGATGATAACATGTTGTGTCTCTTTCTGTACATTGTATATATATTTTGGTGGCTAAAATCATTATGGGGAACTGAAAATAATTAAATAAGAACATTTTATAATTTTTAGAATTGTCTGTCTGTCTATTTGTCTGTTATTATATGAACGCATCACGTCTAAAGTAAACATCTTTTATTTTCAAAGAAATCGTTAAGAAAATCATAAAGCGTATCTTCGAGTTACATTTAATCTTTGTTTTATTAAAATTGGTTAATTCTATCGAAAGTAATGATTATTATTTTGAAATGTAGGTTTGAATTTGTTCAATGGCGCCATAAAATCTCAGAAATAGTAATAAAAAGATTTGTGTGTAAAAAAACGTTCCATAATAATTAATATATTTATACTTAAAACATAAAAAGAGATTTAAAAAGGATGTTTTCTCACACAAAGGACGATAGATGGAGTTGTACAAATTACAAACTTTTCTGAATTGCTGTGTTGACATTTTTCGCCGATGAATCGTATATATCCATACAACGGAACCCGACCAAAAATAAAAATTTTGCAACGAAATGTTGTGATATTGTATTTATAATATACGCAAAATCAGTACTGCCATTTTAGCGCTTTGGGAACTAGATTTAGTGTTTTTTTGGAATGTATAGCGCGCATTTCGATTAAGTTTTAGCACCTAGCTTAATCCAACGCTTTTTGGTGTATTTAGCACACATTTCAATATTTTAGCGACCTGCGGGTTATTAACTCTTTTATAGCAGCACTGTTAGTCCACATTACCGATAATAATAATAATGACCTTTAGTATTTTTTCCCACAAATAGTACATTGCAGTTTATCTTTTTCAAACATATTTTTTCCACAAAACAAAGAGCATGGGAGACGAGTCCAAACTAGGATACCCTGTGCTATGGATCTCCTGGCTTCCCCTTTAGGATGATCAACTTGATTTTTTTACGACGACTATAAGCGGGGAAATCCCCTTTATTAAAGTTTTCGTTCATGATTTTGGCAACGCATTTATTTTGCTTTATTCAGTTTCAGTCAGTTGCTTAGAGCACAGCTAAGTTAAAAGTTACTTAGAAGTTATAACACAAAGAAACTGTGTAGCAACCGCAATCAGATGCTGACATCTGAAACTAAGTTGCGAAATACATTGCACTTTAAAACAATTAATGACATTTTTATTGTTCGTACAGTACTAACTACTGTTGACAGCAATTGCCATAATTATAAGTCGATGTCCTGCGAAGTATTGATACATCAAAAAAATTTTGCCAGAAAAAAAACTTAATGTTGTTTTCTTTATTATGATTATATAAAAAAAACACAAACTTTGTTTGTAGTTAATTTAGCGCGAAATCTAGGGCTTTTTTGAAGCACTGTTTTCATGAAATCTAGCGCTTTTTGTGTTGTCCTAGAGCTGAATGAGTTTTTTTTTATCTGGCAGCACTGCCCAAAAACCCTATATTAAGAAGTAACTTTCCTTTCAGTTTTAAGCGCGTTCAGTTCCCAGTTACAGTGAGCGTGTGTTATGCGATGACCGTAAATAAAGCGCAAGGTCAAACTTTACGCGTTGTAGGAGTGTACCTCAGTACTGACTGTTTTGCACATGGCCAACTCTATGTTGCTTTTTCCCGCGTTAGTAGCGCCCGTAACCTTTTTGTGTACACCCCGGCTAAGCCTACTTCTAACGTCGTTTACACAGAAGCTCTATCATAAACGACTTAGAACTTTGATGATAATGATTTATTTAGTTACCACTTATTGATACAGTAATGAAATAAATCGTTTAATATTCTCTTACCTAAACGACAAATTCTTTATGTAAAAACTGTATACGCGAGCTACGCCGCGGGCACAGCTAGTATACAATATATATGTATACTTCCTCACGATGTTTTATTCACCGCCGAGCTCTTAGTAAATCAGTATTTAAAATAGCATTTAACATTTCTATTGTTGTCGGTGGGGTTCAAACTCGGTTTGCTCACGTACGTTAACAGTATTGTGGTTTACTTGGGCGTTGAACTGTAAGTTCGTTGGTCACTCTTATAATATATTTAAACGTAGCGATTATATACTGTGGACCATGTAGTGGTGGTGTAAGAATATCCACTACCCCGTATCGTCCCGTGGTTGTCGTAAGATGCGACGGAGGGAAACTGAAACAGGTGATGGGCAGCAGCATCTTTCTGATCAACACAAAATAATAAAAAACTGTGGTTGGCAACCCGCTCCCAAGCGTGTCAAGTATGGCAAAACCCCTCCTATGAGGCACCATCTATGGGGGATGTCTATGTTTTGCAGCGTACTCTTATAGGCTGTAATGGATTGATGGAATATGCTTTATGCTTAATATATATATATATGTGTATAATAAAACATGCCTATCCTATACCTACCGTATCAAGTAAGTCGACGATCTTTATAAAATAGTATAGCCAAACTCGATTAATAACGCGCCGTTCGATAGGAGTATCATCGTAGTTTATCTTTTGGCACCATACACTGTAATAACCTGGTAAATAAACCCACTTCAAGCCCTGTAAAAAAGGAGAAGATGTTGGAGTAAGTACAAAATATTTTCGGTACCGTTTTCTTTATAGCATAGTCCAACTTCTGTACAGGAATAGTGGATTTAAGCGATAAGATTGGACAAATTTAAACTGACAACTTTTTGATTCAACAATATTCTGAATTGAAATTAATCTCTAAGGTGTTTTTCCTGTTACAAAATGGTCGAAGAGGATAAAAGTTAATTAATAAAATCGTAACATCTGATTTTATTAATTAACTTTTATCCTCTTTTATAAATTTAAGTCTTGTTCTTCTATTTCTATCTTCTATTTTTAAATTCCGACAAAAACAGAGGGATGTTATAAGTTTATAGTGAGTATCTGTGTATCTGTGTTTGTGTGTATCTGTGTCAGTATGTGGCATCATAGCTCCTAAACGGATGAACCGATTTTGATGAAGTTTTTTTCGTTTGAAAGGTGTCTTAATCGAGAGTGTTCTTAGTTATTTTTTAAGAAAATCTGTTCAGCCGTTTGAAAATCATCAGCTCTTTTTGTTTCAGGGTTTTTTATAATAGTTATCCTTAGTGCTGTTAGCTCTTAGCGTCATCGTTCGTAAGTTTTATAAAAGTTTCATTCAGCTATATAAGAGGGGGGATAATAAAGATGATGATGACTTTTTGGATTATGTCCGAAAGCTAAATATCCGTTACAGTATTCACCTACGCGAATCAGTGTACAAATGAGTTAGCTAATCGCCGTCCGCGCTGGGGTAAGCAGGTCCAGGCTCTGGAAGGCCTAACTTGTGTCGGTTGATGTTCTTAGCTGTAAGAACCGCCAAGATTATTTGTGCCGGTGTTTATAAAATGGATCGAAATTTTATTCATTTTTGAGTTACTAAGTGAACATTCTTCTAAATTGTTATACGAACTCCGCGTCTTAGAAATTTATCACACATGTCCCTGCGAATTAATAATATCGTGATACACCGATTTGCAAAGTTCCTGAAGCTCATTTCTGATAGGCGATATCTCAGCCTTTAGATCACGTAATAAATTGAAGAAAGTTCCAATTCAATGACTTCAGAGAATCATTAATTCCATCGTTGGGCAATGGATAGATACTTAAGCTTTTACAACAAAGTCCCTTAAGGCGCACGTTGAGCAAAATATCGCGCTAGTCGTTATTTCTGCGGTTTTTAGGAGCTATCTACTTTTTATTTAAAATATATATCAACAAATAAAAAACACATTATATTTCTACATAATCTTGATTCCATAAGAGCTATATCCAATTTTTTTTAAAGGAATAAATATTAATATAATCTCCTTACGACGAAACCACATAAATGTGAAATAATTATTGATAACATGCATCTCCTCGTAAAGTAAGTATTATTTTATTTTGCGATTTACACCAATGGATAGGCAATTTATTAATGAACATTACTATTATAAAATTTTTTTCAATTACCAAATTTGATTTTATTAAGAAATTATTTTAAAAACTGGGCGTATTCACTGCCCACGGGCTTGCTGGAGTCAGTGAGCGCTGAGCTTTTGAACGTGAAACCCGTGTCATCTTATCAGTCGATAATATTATTACTTATTAGGTTATTTATAGGTAGTATTATTTGTATGTTTTGGGTATAATTTTTCGTATTGGTTATACATATATTTGTTGTGTTTTTTACTGCGCGATGAAGCTTTTTGCGTGTATTTTCTTTGAAGTAAATGCAAATATAAAAATTAAGCACCATTAGCATGTAAGGTTTGGTTTGAATTGCGCATTTAATTTGGTCTATGGTCGTCTAATAAGGCCCGGTCGGGTCGGTCTATAGGCGACTAATTCGGCCTGGGCGTCTAAGTTGGTCTATCTGCGGCATTGCGGGTTAATACTCGACTCTCTAACTAAACTGACTATTTATTTTTAACTCAAAACGGGACATGGGTTTATTTATACTCTAAAAGCTATAACTTTATACAATTAGTGTTCACTATAAAATTATATTCGGTGTAGACGGTAATTATTAAATGCAACATATTTTTTTTATTATTAATTACATTTGTCAGTGGATTAAATTTGCTTTAATAAAGTTGGTGATGATATTAAATAAGAATAAAATTCTGGGCAAGTTTTTTTTATCGTTACCTTTGTTAACAACATCGCCTTTAGAACTGGAACCATAAGTGTTTTTTTCAGACGTCCACAACTTATTCAAAATAGAAAAATACTCTTTCTATTGGAACATTTGTACCAGGTAGACATAAAATATATTCGATTAAAAAAATTATGTTGAAGATTGTTTTTGGCTTTGAATACATCCATCCAACGAGTTACGGGACAATTTTGTGTCCCGGAGCTTTATTTGGGGACAATGGGACAGGTGACCGAGAAAAGGGACAGTCCCGTTCAAAACGGGACGTATGGTCACTTTACCTATAACCCGGCGACGGCTCAGTGGTGCAGTGGCTTAGCAATCAGTTGTTGCGCTGGGGGCCGCGGGTTCAATCCCGCACGGAACAAGTATTTGTAAGGCCTACAAATAATTGTTCCGGGTCTGGATGTTTGTCCTTGTGACTGCCTCCACGACTCTCATTCTATATTACTCTCACTCTGTGAAACATCCTATTTATTTATTTGTTCTTTATTGCACCAAATATTTGTACAAAAGGCGAGCTATCTATCTTTTTACCTATAGTGACTAGGTACAGGCTGCACTAAAAGTATCGGGAATGGAATATTTCCACTGTTCCTGTCATATTAAAATCTTTTTAATTGAAAACTCCTTAGTTTTAAAAATCGAATACCATTTATTTATTTAAAAAAAGATTCTCGGTCTTGTCACAAGGTTTTGTCAAACTTGTTTAGTCGTTGAGAAAATGGAATTGACTCGAGAAAATTCAAGACTTTCGAAGTGGTTTAACACAAAAACAGTGTGTTGACCGGATGATTTCTGCATTTGGTGATGAAGCCCCATCCAAAACCACAATTTATCGCTGGTTTGCTAAATTTCAACGTAGACGTGTCAAGCTCAGTGATGATCCCCGTCAAGGTCGTCCAAAAACTGCAGTCACCCAAGAAAACGTTGATGCTGTGCGTAAACTGATTGAGGAAGATCGACATGTGACATACCGCGAAATTCAGGCAACTTTAGACATTGGCATGAGTCAAATACAAATAATGTTGCATGAACAATTAGGTGTAAGAAAGTTGTTTTCCCGATGGATACCGCATTCGCTCTGTGAAGAGCAAAAAGCGGCTCGCGTTACTTGGTGCGTCAGAACTCTCGAAAAATTCCACGCAGGATCCTCAAATGCTGTATACAACATCGTATCAGGTGACGAATCCTGGATATACGCGTACGAACCCGAAACAAAAAACCAGTCACGAGTTTGGCTGTTCGAAAATGAGTTAAAGCCAACAAAAATTGTTCGTTCACGGAGAGTTGCAAAAAAAAAATGGTGGCCACGTTTGTCTCCAAAACCGGCCATGTTACGACTATTCCTCTTGAGGGACAAAGAACGGTTAATGCAAAATGGTATGCTAGCATTTGTTTGCCACAGGTCGTTTCTGAATTCCGTAAATAGAACTGCAACCGCCGCATCATCCTCCATCACGACAATGCGAGTTCTTACACCGCACACAGAACAAAAAAGTTTTTAGAGCAAGAAAACATAGAATTATTTGGAAGAATTTCCTATAATACTAAGCTATGTGGGAGAATGCTAGAAACACATATTACGTACCAGTATCAGAAGCTAACTTCGCACCAAGGCTCAGTCAGGCCGTGAGTGGGTGTAAGGTGAATGGCAAGTAGTGTTCAGTGATGTGTAAATGTGTGAGACCTTGACCACCTTAGGAGATCAGCAGCGGTCTCTTAATGAGTCATACGACTCAGCATTAAACACAACTAAGTTCCTTCATTCGACACCAAAACACCACGTCGCGAAAAGATTCAAAATACGCCTCGTTGACACGTAAACTAACAAGCCAACCAACACACAAAAAAGGGCACTTAACGCGACGGCACAATTATAATGATTTCCTGACGATCAACCGGGAGAAGCTCTCGAACAAGAAATGCGCGGTTCGAATCCTAGACCGTATATCTACTCGACGCGCGGGTGCACAATACCGCATCCCCAAACAAGTTAAATATTGCAAAACTCACATATCCACGTAACGAAGTAACACGCACTTAATCTAACTATATGGACCCGACAACGGTCGCGTGAACTTCTGCCGCAATAAACGAGCTACGCGGGTTCCCCGCTTCGCGGCCAGTGGGCAACTCTCCCATCCTCGCCCACGCGTCGAGCCACTGCAAGCCGCACACGGCCGCCCCACCTCGGCGCTTATCTCACCTACACACCATCGGGTGAGGCGCCAGCTCGAACGCAATTGAGTGGCGTTCAAACATAACCAAATTTGGGCATAAGCTGTAATGTTGTGTCACTTCCTTGATTCCCGAAATTTTCAGCGTGTCTTTTAAACTTACAATTTTCAATGCTTCATTTTTAATATATAACTAATTATAAAATTTCATTATTAGATAATATATGAGAATACATAATTCTAATATAATGCAACTAATATACCAAATAAAAAAATTAAAATACATTTATCGTTGTACGCTGTGTGTATTTCCATAAAATAGTTTATTGATGTTGAAAAAATACTACGTTCGTACAGTAGGTGGCGTTTTAATATATTTCTTACGCGATATATTGTAGCGTGTCGGCGCGGCACACCAAATGCTCAAGGTCGTTCGCATGGAGTAGCCCCTTAAAATATGCGGGACTTATCTATCAAAAGGTTTAATTTTTTTTTACTGGATAAGTTTATTAATATTAAAGAATAGGTACCTACATGGTTGGTAACTCATGGGAATATAGTAATCGCTTTCATGCTGTTTCCAAATGTTTTCATATTTGATTATTCAACACAAATTACTTTAAATTAATATAGTTCTTTCCAGGGCAGAGGATTTTTCGTGTAATTATACCCCACTGCCGGTGCGTCGCTCT